GATAGCTCTAATACCAATGATATCTCGATTGTAAATGATTGTATAGATCGATTGTAAATCGAGGAACTATCAATAGAAAATTAAACATGTCCATGACTACGATCCACGAAGCGCGTATCCGATAACTATGATTGACAAGTTTCAAACTTTAATTCCGCAGCTTATCAGCGTTTAGGAGCAGTGCATGAAACTCCTAAAGGGCGGAGTAGAGGAGGATAGAACACGTTAGTAAACAAACCGTTGATCTAGTGGAGGTCGTGGCGCGGAGGACTGAGTCTCCAGATAATGGCGATGACATAACTCTTTGCGAACAGTTGCGGCCTTGATCCAATACACGTGTTGCTACCACAATGGCCGCGCCCGCTTTTGATGACACAAAGTAGAACAAGTAATAATTTAATAGATTATCCAGGAAGAGTAAATGTCTAGCGTGCTTAATCCGGTTTTCACACTTTAATACAATTATAGCAATTAGGACTCAATCCTTTTTCATTGATAGAGTGTTTACCAATATTTTATCAAGAGTAGCTAACGTAATAGAATTTTTCATTTCATTCATGGTTTCGATAATTTTCTGACCAAACAAACACATGTAGTCTGCGGTACAGACCCTTTTTGTATCAAATTATAAATATACGTCAAAAACTCGTGAGAGCCTTCCTTCATCTTATCGTGACCTAATATTTTTTTATTTATTTTAATTAATAAAATCATCGGAAATCGGACGTTCTGAATCTGAAGATTGGTAAACTTCGTCAATTTAATGAACTACTAAAAATTCTTTGACGCCAGTTTGCTTTCCACTTGAATCGTAAGATAATTTTTTTTTTTTTGCACTTACATATATTTATCCGCACCTGTCAATTATTATTGACAATCAGCAGATGTGCTGGGTTAGCAATGAGAGAAAAATAAAATAAAATAAAAAATAAAAAGGCTCGATAGGCATGAGTAAGATAATTTGATTGCAAAATCGAGAAAAAAAAAGTGCCCTACAGAAATAGAGGACCTTCATTGGCATGACCTTCATTCCCAACAAATCGAAATAACGAGGTTACGTGGACCAAACGGTATTTCATTACTTTAAATTATTTAATAACCCACAAATTTAATCTCTATGATATTATAAACCATATACTTAATAATAAATTTCATTTTATGAACTGAATTTGTGAGAAGTAAATGGTGATGCCTACTGTTTAAGTTTTAACATAAAGCAGCAATGATTTTTTATTATTATTTTTACTATTTATTTGTATTTCTCTTCACCTCAGGTTGTGCTTATTCTTTCATGTATATATGTTTATATTTTACACTTTTTGTCTCTCTGTGTACCAATATGAGTAAGTACGTATATATAGTTCCTTTTTTACCTTTATACCACAATTATTCTTGAGATTCTATTTTATCTTAGTGTTTGCTTATTATTGTATGAATCACTGTAAACATTATTACATTTTGTATTAAATTATGTTTCTATTAGATAGCCTATTGTTTATAAATTGTGCAGTTATGTATATATAGATATGTAATTTCTTCTCTTTCTTTCTTTTTTTTTTTTTTTTTTTTCATCGTAATAACAAGAAAATTTGGAGAAGATTGTATGTTCATTTATATATGTATGTGTATGTATGTATATGTGCGTGTATTTATACATATGTATATTTTTTTTTTGTTTATTTCTTAGTGGTTACATACTACTTTTTAAATAATGTATATTATGTTAGAATTTTTATAAGTTAGTTTTTGGCCAGATTTGTATTTTATTTTGTATTAATTCATCTTTGTTATTCTAAGGGGACTTAGTCCCAGAATAAAGTTCTATTTTCCATTCTATTCTATTCTACTTAACTTGAATACACTCATTAAACTATTTTATATCATTATTTACCAATAGCTAATCTTTTCAACTTTTTCATAAGCAAAGAGCTAGAATATAGCCCAGTCAAATTAGACGTGTTATCTTGCAAAAGGTCGGGTAGTTCAAATTTCTTTTTTATATTGTTAAGTATGTAGTGAGTATAAAAAATCCAAGTTTCCGCCGTTGAAAGCATTGTGGGTTCGTTGCAGTGCTCCAAAAACCATTGAAATTTCCAACATTTTTGGTTTACGCTAAATATCTCCTTTTTAGAACAACATAGATAAAAAAATAGTTATGTTCAATCTTAAACATCTTAAAATTGTCAAACATTTTTTTGCATAAATTTTTTTTTCTAAACCCAACAGGAAGCGAACTATCGAGCTTTCAAAATTTACCCATTTCGATTTCTTCACAATAGTGCTCTTTCGGTTTTAAACGGAAGAATTATGTAACTCTATTTTGAACCTCGTTCAGAGAATTTGGAGGTTTTTCTTGAAATAATGAGCCAGTGATTGGTTCGGTAGACTGTAATCGGGAGGTGTTTTTAAAAAGTATGTTACACGGTGGGCTAGATCCCCTTATCGTGCACCCTCCCCGCACATCCCCATAAATTTCATATAGTTGTGTTCCTTGTAATTATTTATTAAATAAAAATAAATGTTGGCACAGAAAAAAAATGACCACAATGTCCCAAAATGGCGTTCAAACATAACAGATTGACGTCTTTGACTCGAGTTATTTTATCGGTCACTGAATTTCAGGGTTTGGATTAATTTAGTCATAATTGGCCTTTTACTAAAGCTGGATAGTTAAAAAAAATAGTAAAAAATGAAAAAAAAAATTTGGCCTGGACAATGAAAAAAACCAGTAGTCAAGTTTTTCAAGTCGTTCAAATTAAAGTTAAAAAATCAAGATCCTTTTGTAAACAAACAGCCAACAATAACGAAAAACTCTTTGAAATAAAACATCTGGATAATACATTTCTCTTCCTAAAACACTGATTACATTTTAAAATATTTGAAGCAGATACTTAGAAAATACACTTAATCGGAGGAAAAGCGGCACCGGCATAGTCATATGCCACATCATTAAGTACTCATAAATGGCATAGTTATAGTGCTATTATGATTTTATTAACGAACAAATATTGAAATATAATAATTAAATTGTCAATTTTTTTTTTATTTTACACATTTTGAAAGTTCGATGGTTCGCTTCCTGTTGGGTTTAGAAAAAAATATTATGGATATAAACGCTTGCTAATTTAAAGCTGTTTAAGATTGAATATAACCTTTTTTTTATCTACGTAGCTTTAAAACGGAGATAATTAGAGTAAACAATAAAAAGATTCTAAATTATGATGATTTTTGGACCTCTGCTGCGAACCCACACCATAATCACTGCATACCTAAAAATATAAAAAAGAAATTTGAATTATCTAACCTTTTGCAAGCTGGACCAATTTTGTGCTAATTTGACGGGGCTAATACGAGGTTTTACAGAATTTAAAACTCAGGATCTAATCTGACAGAGAGTTGGTATCGGTATATATAGCGATTGAAATGGAATGTACATGTTTTTTTTTATATTGGTATTATTTACAATGAAGGGTGCCCTAATATCTCCCATGATGGAAAATAATCCAGTTATGTCAATTCGTGAAAACAGAGAGACTTGATGATCCACTGAACCCTGAATTACATTTCACTTTTCTCCACTGTTAGTTGCATATAGGATTCTATACGTCTTGTATGTGTGCGTATATATATTTTAAAGAAGACAATATCACTGAATAAGAAAAATTTTAGAATTTTATTTGAAAAAAAAAACCTGAACAATGTAATGTGGTATTTAGCAGAATGGACAACCTGGCAATGATGGATTTTGGGCAATTGGTTTTGATTACCACTGTACTTTCAAATAGCAACATAAAATAATAAATGAGAAAATCTAGATATAGACAATTTTAGTTACCATGGGTAAAGGATTGGTATAACCAATATGCATTTGCATTTAGGTTTCTCCTATCTAAAAAGTTACAGTAATATTTCTATAGTAATAAGTTAAAAGGTAACTGCAAGACTTTGGCGAGACTCTTGCGCAAGACCAAGAACAAGGCCAAGACTGAGAACTCAAGACCAAAACTAGTGCTGATCTCGCATTTGGGCATCACTAATCGTAAGATAATTTCATAACAGAATCAAGGAAAAACGTAACCTTAAAAAATGTTGAACCGTTTGGCGTGACCTACACCCCCAAATTTTCAAAATAACGCGGTTACATATGACCAAAAACTCAATATTTTTGTAGGGCACATTTTTTATCGATTTTGCGATGAAATTATTTTACGATCCAAGTAGGAAGCAAATGGGTATTTAAGAGTTTTTAGTACTTAATTAAATAGACAAAGTTTGCCCCTGTCCAGATTGAAAACGCCCCAATTCCAAGAGTTTTCGTAAATAGTTGTAGATTACGATGAGATTAAACTATTTATGAAGTTTCAGGCGGATGTTAATAATTCGACAAAAAGGTGTCTGTACTACGGACTACAAGTGTTACACAAATATTCAATTCATTAATAACATGGTATCGTTCCACTTTAGTATATGTACCATCTACGTTTTGATTATTATTTATTGTTATTTTGCTTCTATTCATTTTATATTTTTTGTACATATAGTGTGAATGTTATCCTACCTCACTATAACTAATGTCCAAGGGACAGATTATTATAATACTCAATAAAGGAATAAAAAAATTAATAAAAAATTTGGTAAAAAGGGGTCTGTACCAAGGACTATGAGTTTATTTACTTCTTGTAGTATAGAAGTGAGTAGCAACTTCGTAATGAGCCTAGATGAAGAATTGGCGTTGGAGGCACGCTTTAAGGGGGGTTGAATACTCCATTAGGGGGCTCTTGTATGTTTTAACTATCATTAGCATTTTTCGCCATGAAAATCCAAGAGTATCGAACCTCTTTGATGGATACAACAAAATCTCCGAAGAGATACGTGTGAAGGAACCGTAAAATCCTCAAATCTGCTCAGACTACCATGCAAGCTCAAGAACCGTCATACAATAGATTGAAGAATGAAGACGTAACGGAAGAGCATCCATTGGGTTAAGCATAAGAAGTTGAATGAGGTGCACTCAAAAGCAGGGGGGTACAAAAGGTGAACCTGATACGTGGCCAGTTGCTTCCTTCTCCTCAGGAATGCAGCTTTCATACGCAGCTCTCACTTGCCCCTTTCCTATTCAAAACACTTTTACCATCAGTCGTGTTATATCAGTCGCTTTGGTCGGAATTCGTCCACTTTTATTGGACTATTATGACATGAGTTCCCCGTAAGAAACAATTTGGAACTCATCAGCACACAGAAAGTACCTCACTGAATGACTTATTATAATCTATTCGAACTACGTTCTCGTAGTTCTTTATCACTATTATATGGAGTTGGCATCTAAATAATTCCGGATTTTACGAATAGTAGGTGACTTTAATAACAATGTTATCTTTCGATTTTGAATGCTTCAAAGAATAAAAAAATGTTCAAATGTAAAAAATGCAATAAAATAGAAAAACGACAGAAATAGAAAAAAAAAATTAAAGATGAATAACAATAATAGGTTAATTTTCACAGTAATGGACAAGATATTTTATCTTATTATCTATAAGTGTCTATTATTATCATTATTTATTTATTTTATATTCCTATCCTTTTTAAAATTTTTTTTTCTATTAATTCTTTTATTTTTATCCTTTTTTTATTTTTATGTTTTGTACCAACCACCTGAACAGTTTACATAACTAATGATCCTTTGCAGATTTATTTATTATTTTTTTTAATTTTAAAAGTTCATTGACTTATTAATTTCAATTAATTTATTGATTTTATTGCTATTCATTATAGTTTATTTATTTATCTATTTTATCTTATTATCCATAAGTGTCTATTATTATCATTATTTATTTATTTTATATTCCTATCCTTTTTTAAAAATTTTTTTTATTATATTAATTCTTTTGTGGGTAAAATGGTTGACTGTCGTGAATAATGAGGAGAAGAATAGTTGGGGTGATCAGTCAGAAATAAGAAGGAAAAAATAAATAATAATATTTATTTTGACATTTGCCGACGTTTCGATCTGAAGTTCAGGCCTTTATCAGGGCTAAGAAAAGAACCAGATAACAACGTATGAGAAAACATAAATAATGTAGGTAAAAAAAAATTAAAGTAAAATGAAGTGGGTAGAAAAATGACAATAGTAAGAACTAAGAGATAAATAATAATAATAACCTTTACAAAGTTTAGGATGATGAAGTAAACATAATCGAAAAAGATGACATAAGTATTCAAATGGTAATCTTAGAATAAAATATTAAACAGAAAAAAAGAATATGAAGTTATATAAGAGATGAAAATAAATAATAAAATTAAAATATTGAAAATAGAAAAGTTAGAAAATTGAGTTAGTGTAAAGTCTATCAAAATGTTTTGATTTTATCATAAATTAATTATCAGAAGTTGAGTTTCTATGTTATTGATAAATATCTGACTTCTTATTTCTGACTGATCACCACAACCATTCTTCTCTTCATTATTCACGACAGCCAACCATTAACCCACAATTATGACTTATTATAATGTATTCGAACGACATTCTCGTAGTTCTTTATCACTATTATATGGAGTTGGCATCTAAATAGTTCCGGATTTTACGAAAAGGTGACTTAATAACAATGTTATCTTTCCATTTTCAATGCTTCAAAGAATAAAAAAATGGTTATTATCACAATGTATAATATAATATTTTTTATTGCTGTAATAAAATAAAAAAAAGTCAGAAATAGAAATAAAAAATTAAAGATGAAATTTCAGATAACGATAATAGATTCATTTTCACAATAATGGACAAGTTATTATTTTTTTATTTTTATTATTTCTTTTTTAATTGAGAAAAATACATAGCCTTAATCAAAGACAATGAATATTTGAGATATAAGAAACTCATTCATACAATATATACAATTACAAAAATAATAGAAATTATAACAAAAATAAGAAAAGGAAAGCTCAGTGAAACAGATGAAAACAAATATGATGCAACACAAATTTTAAAAATGAAAAATTAAGAAAAAACAAAAAAAAAACATTCATGCTTACAGTCAGCCAAGGGAGCTCCAAGTCGGGCCCTTTCCCCCACGTGTGGAAGATAAGGCAGGACTCTAAGAGATCCCAGCGCTTCTCTCTCAGCCGCATTACTGAGCAATGGACAAGTTAAAAAAGGTAACTTGCAGATAAATGGAGGCTTACAAAACATGACAGATAGCAGAAAAACCTCTAACATCCAAATTAACACGGAAACTAAAACCACTAATATTCGAATTAACACGGAAAATAAAACTTTGATCGAATCTATACTACCTTTGGAGAAACTTGTAGAATCACCTGACAAAAACTATCCTCTTTCCTTTATTAAATTTAATACATTTTTAGAAACTATCGTCGTCACAAAAGAGCCGGTATCGGCAGCACTAGAAATAACCAATGACCTTCATTCCATCATAACATATGTTTTCAGATTTATACTCAGCTCTTCTAACAAACAGCTTAAAGAGCAGATTAACAAAAGTCGTGAAAAAAAACCGTGCAAAATCACTTATTTTAGTAAAAACACCAACATTTAACTTTCCTAGCACCTTGAAAACCAGATAATAACTTATAAAATTAAAACATATGATCATTTTAAATTGGAACTGTAATGGTGTATATCGTCACTACAATGACCTACAGTTGTCGATTTCTAATTATAACCCTTCACTTTTATCTCTTCAAGAGACCCATATAAAATAAAATAAAACAATTTTAAAATATTTATATAATTGCATTTAGTAATCAATTAAATAACGCTGCCTTTAGTAATTGACTTCATGAAAAATGGATTTTTACTTATTTTCTAGTGTTTCATATCAGTTTTAAATGTTTAAAGACTACACTATGTTACAACGCCAAAAGTAAATGCATCATTGATGATCATGGATCGGACATACTAGACTGACACACCTCCACCTCATAACAAAAGATCTTAACCGCAAATATCAAAAGTGTGACCAAGTCATTAACTATAAAACATATTTTGGAAGAGTGTCCTTTTTACATAGCAAGGTTAAAAGATCTCGGAATACCCCAGAATATATCAGCATCCCTGGGAAATCAAGTAGAAATCCTTACCAAAGTTCCTAGACGATGAAAAAATTATAAAACATATATAACAAGTTATGACTAATGATCTTTTGCAGATTTATTTATTTATTTATTTTATTTTAAAAGTTCATTGACTTATTAATGTCAATTCATTTATTGATTTTATTGCTATTTATTATAGTTTATTTATTTATGTATTTAATCTTACTATCTATAAGTGTCTATTATTATCATTATTTATTTTATATTTCTATCCTTTTTTAAAATTTTTTTATTATATTAATTCTTTTATTTATTTTTATTTTTCGTACCAACCACCTGAATAGTATAAAAGTAGTGTTATTTAGTTGATCGGGCGCTAATGGTTTGCGCTTAGACATTGAAACAAACAAACAACAACAAATCATTTTATTCAAAATTCAAATCTTGCATTGAACCATACACCACTGAAGATGACGCAGTTATTGTTCAAAAGAAGTGTTTGGTAAAAACAAGCAGATATTTTAAAGAGCATATAAATTTATCCCCATCAAATCAAAAAAAAAAAAAAAAAAATACCAAGGTTTGCAGGAACAATGATCCTTTTATGGATACTTTTTAAAATGTTTTTGAGTACATATTTTGATTGCTTAGGTATGTAGCTCAAACCAATCACAGAAACAAATATGGAGGAATAAAAAAAAAAATCTCTTTCCATTTTATTTTTATTTTTTTTTGAAGGGAGAGGGGAAGAGACTTTTGGGCTGAAACTGTGGTTCCGATACTGGTGTTAAGTGCCCTATATGCATGCATTTTAGAACCTTAGATTTTTCGTTTACTATAGCCCTAATACCAATGCTCTTCAGAGTGGCAGACTGTATTAATACTGAATAAAACAATAAAAAAAGATTTTTTGTTAATCTCTGAATAAACGGTAAAAGATTATTTAAAAAATAAAATAAAATTCCGTCAAATCTTCACAAACTCACAAAAAAAAAACTTCAGAATTATAAATTTGAAACAGAAGAGAATTGATCATATGCTCATGACATTTTTCGTTTTATATTTAAAATTGTTATGAAAGGGATGAGCGCATCAGACCGAGAAACCCTGGATGTGTGCCACGGCAAATCATCGATCGAATTCATCAGTCGTTCAAATCAGGGCGAAGAGGAGGCCAATGGGTTACCGCTACCTGGTTTAGGTTACGTCAGCTTTAATCACTTCCAACCACGTAACGCCAAGGGGTTCAGAGATAGACCAGATAGGCTGCATATCCGTAACAATCATTACGTGTGGTAATGGAATCTGGCTTTAGTTTATATTGGGTAATGTTTCCACAAATACCAACCACAAACTCATCGATCGATAAATTGAAAAAAAATGATGGAGTGTGCATCCCACAACATTCATTTACCACGCTACTTCGAGTAGAAATAGATATTTTCATATGTAGAAAAGTGAAAGCAAACAATTTAAAGGGTATAACATATTCGTTATAACAATTAATAACCATGCAAAAAATCATGGTCGGTTCAAAAAATAAAAATAAAAGGAATATATATAAAAAGAAAATACACGAATGATAAAAAATGATTGCTAGTTACTTTATCCAAAATATCCACTTTGAAACGCGTTAATAATAAGAATTAATACTGGTAGATATATTGGGTTGGCAAATAAGTCCTTTCTGTTTTTCTGTTTATTTTTATTTCACTACGATACAATTCTTATCTAATGAATTAATCCCTAAGGTGGATTGTGTATCCTGTTTGTAATATGTCAACAACTATATGTGTTAACTATTTTTGAAACTGGCTTAGAATTGTGTTTGCTATTGCATTGTGAATATGGAAGAAAATATCACTCATTATCGGCATGTTTTGTTGTAAAATTTTTAAAAAAGTAAGCGTGCAGCAGAAGCTCATAGAAAAATTTGCAGTATTTATGGGGATGATGCCTTAACCGAACGCACCTATCAAAATTTGTTTGCCAAATTCCATTCAGGGAATTTCGACATCAACGATGCTCAACGGTCTGGTCGCCCACATGACACGTAAACGAGCAATGTTAACGCCATTGTTGATCAAAATCCCACCCAATCAGAGCGAGAGTTTGCGTAGAAAACCATTTGTACAAGCACGACGTTTCCAGGCTTAATAAT